ATAAAGCTACATCAATAAAGACTGTATAAAGCTACACCAATAAGGACTGTATAAAGCTACACCAATAAGGACTGTATAAAGCTACACCAATAAGGACTGGATAAAGCTACACCAATAAGGACTGGATAAAGCTACATCAATAAAGACTGTATAAAGCTACATCAATAAAGACTGTATAAAGCTACATCAATAAAGACTGTATAAACCTACATCAATAAAGACTGGATAAAGCTACATCAATAAAGGCTGTATAAAGCTACATCAATAAAGACTGTATAAAGCTACATCAATAAAGACTGTATAAAGCTACATCAATAAAGACTGGATAAAGCTACATCAATAAAGACTGTATAAACCTACATCAATAAAGACTGGATAAAGCTACATCAATAAAGGCTGTATAAAGCTACATCAATAAAGACTGTATAAAGCTACATCAATAAAGACTGGATAAAGCTACATCAATAAAGACTGTATAAACCTACATCAATAAAGACTGGATAAAGCTACATCAATAAAGGCTGTATAAACCTACATCAATAAAGACTGTATAAAGCTACATCAATAAAGACTGTATAAAGCTACATCAATAAAGACTATATAAAGCTACATCAATAAAGACTGTATAAACCTACATCAATAAAGACTGGATAAAGCTACATCAATAAAGACTGTATAAACCTACATCAATAAAGACTGGATAAAGCTACATCAATAAAGACTGTATAAAGCTACATCAATAATGACTGTATAAAGCTACACCAATAAAGACTGTATAAAGCTACATCAATAAAGACTGTATAAAGCTACATCAATAAAGACTGTATAAAGCTACATCAATAAAGACTGTATAAAGCTACATCAATAAAGACTGTATAAAGCTACACCAATAAAGACTGTATAAAGCTACATCAATAAAGACTGTATAAAGCTACATCAATAAAGACTATATAAAGCTACATCAATAAAGACTGTATAAAGCTACATCAATAAAGACTGTATAAAGCTACATCAATAAAGACTGTATAAAGCTACACCAATAAAGACTGTATAAAGCTACATCAATAAAGACTGCATAAAGCTACATTAACAGAACTAGATCAGTGCCACATCTTATCCGACCTCGTGAACACCATTTAATCAGACAATATATATTACAAAAAAATACACGAGTTATTAACGCAAGAAACAACAACAGCAAACAACTACAACACAAACAAAGGCAATAAAACAATTTATATAATTATTAAAAAATAAATAAAACAATAAAATGAAAATCTAAAAACTGGGGTCACCGCCATCGCCACACTCGCCCATCAGTCATCAAATTTATCTATAAATTAATAAACCTAAAAAGGGCATTAACTATCCATAAGGCATTACCGGTAACCCAGCCCGCCCTCCCCCCACACCCCACCATTACCCCCTCCCCACCCACCCCAGCAGATGCGTTCACCGATAGCTAACCTTCCGGACATCGCATTACTATTCACGAGATCCCTCACGCACGCACGCACGCACCCACACACGCACATTTGTCGCGATTACTGCGTGGATCCGTGGATGAGCGGCGGTGAAAGTTATGCTTGACTTAGGTTCTAGGCGACGAACGCGAGAGTGAATTCCTGGATTTCTCGTTCGGAATGACGAATGGATTCCTGGATTAATGGATTAAATACGGAATGAATAAGTCAGATACACAAACGGATTCCTAGGAACGAACACATTGATTGCGACATCTGATGCATGTACGCCCACACACAAGTGCGTACACATATACACACACACACACACAAAACGCGCACTGCACGCACACAATGCACGCTAGCACACACATCCTGCACAAAAAAAGAAAAACCTGCTTGCCGCGTGAAACCTGCAGTCAAGTCAAATAAGCAGGCAGATGCGTAAATAAGCGGAATGGGGAGAGCGGTAACCAAGGAAGTGGGTAAGCAGGGAAACACAGAGGAAGATAAGAAAGCATTTAGATTAGTTTAGCAGGTAAGGAAGGAGGCAAAGTGACAAGCAGGTATAGAAGTACGCAGGGAGGGTGAGCAGATAATAAATATGATCGGAGGTAAGTCGATATAGATAATGACAAAAATGAACTAGGCAGGCAGACAGGCAGTGTATGAGATGGTAGGGGTGAGACTAGACTAAGCTCATACAGTCTGGTGATTTTCTTTCCACGCCTCAAATTGATTTTCTTTAGATTAATTATGAGATAGAAGCAGCTTACAATAACATAGTGCTGTAACTAACTCAATACACCAAAACAGCCACCAAAAACTAACCTACACCACCTCTCTCCCTGCCTACCGAAGTCATTTTTTTCCACAACTGTATATTAGGGGGTTATAGAAAAGGTTGATGGGAAGGGAGAAAGAAATTAGGAAAACGAGAGAGAGACCGACCGACCAAGTTGTCACGGAGAACAATAGACCAGAGAAATAAAAGGGCATGATTAATGAACCTTTTCGCCGGGACAAGAAACACCTTTAGAGGAACATAAATATTGACAAAAACTCCCAGGGCGTCAGAGCACAATATTTGACTTCACACGGGCCACCCTACCTCCACGCCTCCCTAATTATAATACAGAGCTTACACTTCAACGCCAACGCTCCCCATTGTCTCCCGGCTATTATCACAATGGGGAGAAATATTAGGATTAGAAGAAAGACCCAGAGAGAGAGAGAGAGAGAAAAAAAAAACTTATTGTCAAGGCGATATTATTTTTCCTAAGTGTCAAAAGTATTATAATTGTAGAGGCAGGGCGGTGGGTGGGGGGAGGGAGGGGGAGGGAGGAGGGAGAAAAAATACTACTTCTCTTGTGAGGAATTAAAAGACAACGAGCTTCCGGAAGAGAGAGAGGGGGGGGGGAGGGGGGGATATTTTTTTTTTCTATTAATAAAAATTAAAAAGTTACTACACGTCTACCAGGGGGCGGGATGATGAGATAGATGAGACGAGTCTACATAAATTTCTGAGATATAAAGTATAAGTATCTTGTCCTGTTGACGTGCTACAATACTTGAGAGTTTAAAGACTAAACTCTTCCTTACCTGACAGCACCATTGTAACGTACCTTTACATAATTTGTAAAATAAACAAGCGCTAAGAGAACTTCTACCTGACAGTCAAGAATCACCTCATTAATAGGTCACCAAAGCACAGGTAGACACAGGTGTTTGGTTCTAAGACAATTTTTTTTTCTTATGAGAGACAGTTCACAGGTACAGAGTAGTCACGACACCTGTTTTTGGAAGTTGTGTGTCTGGGTGAAGAAGACATCTGTAGTGAGTTTATGGACAGGAAAAAAAATCAGTTGTCACGGTACGCTGATCACCTGAACGGACACCTAAACGTGTAAAAAAAAAAAAAGATCAGGTGAGATGAGTCGGCCTATTTGTTTACGCTCAAGAGATCAAAGTTAAAATGACGCTTTATTTTTGGCTCCATGCATAATACTATATACGTCTTCTTCACACACACACACACACACACACATTTCCAAACCAGTATCGTGTAGACCTCCGCCACACCAGACTTTATCCCCTCTCCAGCTGACTAGTCAAGGTTACTAATGGATAACAACAGTAAAAAACAACAACGCTCTTTTACACACTCAATGATACAACAATAAACCAAAGTTATAAACATTATAATATCAACAAGTTCAACCATAATTACAAGGTCGATCATAAGTCGCACAAGGTCATCTGTCAACCTCAACGACCAGGGCATTAGCAAACTGTGATCACCTGACCTACTACGTGAGGTAAAATATGAACACCGAGGATTATTACTTATTAACGTTAAAAGCCACGCCAATTAAAGACCTGTTCAGCATGAGGTACAGGAGCAGCTAGAATTAACAGTAAAAACCACAGCAATAAGAACATGTAACAGCAAACGCGACAATATTAACTAACATTAACAGTTCAAACACCATTCAACAACATCCCAAGACACACATTTTTACTTAAAAAGAACCTTTCCCATTAACATTAACAGTAGAAGCCCCAGCATTAACAGCAGAAGCCCCAGCATTAACAGTAGAAGCCCCATCATTAACAGTAGAAGCCCCAGCATTAACAGCAGAAGCCCCAGCATTAACAGCCCCAGCATTAACAGTAGAAGCCCCAGCATTAACAGCAGAAGCCCCAGCATTAACAGCAGAAGCCCCAGCATTAACAGTAGAAGCCCCAGCATTAACAGCAGAAGCAGTAGAAGCCCCAGCATTAACAGTAGAAGCCCCAGCATTAACAGCAGAAGCCCCAGCATTAACAGCAGAAGCCCCAGCATTAACAGCAGAAGCCACAACATTAACAGCAGAAGCCATAGCATTAACAGCAGAAGCCACAACATTAACAGCAAAAGCCCCATCATTAACAGTAGAAGCCCCAGCATTAACAGCAGAAGCCCCAGCATTAAGCCCCAGCATTAACAGTAGAAGCCCCAGCATTAACAGCAGAAGCCCCCAGCATTAACAGCAGAAGCCCCAGCATTAACAGCAGAAGCCCCATCATTAACAGTAGAAGCCCACAGCATTAACAGCAGAAGCCCCCATTAGAAGCCCCATTAACAGTAGAAGCATTAACAGCAGAAGCCCCAGCATTAACAGCAGAAGCCACAACATTGCAGAAGCCATAGCATTAACAGCGAAGCCACAACATTAACAGCAAAAGCCCCATCATTAACAGTAGAAGCCCCAGCATTAACAGCCCCAGCCCCAGCATTAACAGCAGAAGCCCCATTAACATTTAACAGCATTAACAGCAGAAGCCAACATTAACATCAGAAGCCACAACATTAACAGCAGAAGCCCCATCATTAACAGTAGAAGCCCCAGCATTAACAGCAGAAGCCCCATCATTAACAGTAGAAGCCCATTAACAGCAGAAGCCCCAGCATTAACAGCAGAAGCCACAACATTAACAGCAGAAGCCATAGCATTAACAGCAGAAGCCACAACATTAACAGCAGAAACCCCATCATTAACAGTAGAAGCCATTAACAGCAGAAGCCACAACATTAACAGCAGAAGCCATAGCATTAACAGCAGAAGCCACAACATTAACAGCAGAAGCCCCATCATTAACAGTAGAAGCCCCAGCATTAACAGCAGTAGCCCCATCATTAACAGTAGAAGCCCCAGCATTAACAGCAGAAGCCACAACATTAACAGCAGAAGCCCCAGGATTAACAGTAGAGGCTACAGCATTAAGCAGCATTAAAGACAGAGCCACACAATACCATACACAGCGCAGTTGGTACTCCAAACACGAGCTTGGTAACGTGATACCATTGTTTACAAACCATTTGAAAGCTTCAAGGGAGAACATTAGGGAGGAACTCTCGCCGTTATGTACTCTGGGCCATAGAGGTGAGGATCCCCCGCCTCGCCCACACCTAACACTGTACAGCTCCCAGCCATAAGGACAATAACAGGCAAACTAACAGCGGTTTAGACTGGAGGTACCAAGCCTCCAACGACAACTATGTGCGCCGTGTGATCAGGGTAAAGGCGCTGTGATTAAGGTTGGATGGAGGAGGTAAAGTGCGCTGCGTGATAAGGACTGCAAGTGAGCGATGTATGTACTGGACCCCCTACGCTATAGGCGCTCACATATTTAGTCTCGGATAGTACAGTCTGCAGTGTAGGAATGAATATTACGTGCGCTTAAGTACTCTTAGTGGGACCTCATGAGCGCCGATAAATTAAATGGCTGATCGCTAGAGTGACCAGTGTATGAGGTCAGTAAATAGGGTGGAACACGGTGTGAACAAGGTGGGGGGGGCGGTGTGCGGAGTTAATATTACACGTCGGGCGGTAACTGCGCTCAATGATTAGGGGGTCGTAAGCTCAACTCATCAAACGGTGGATGTATCCGAAACATTTATTCCCAAATGTTCGTAAATTAACGATGCATATGAGATCGATTCTAACTCGCTCACTTCACCTACGACACGAAGATGGCGGCCAAAATGACGTCATAACTTAAGACCAGATTGACGTCATAATTTAAGACCAGATTGACGTCATAATTTGAGGACAGAATGACGTCATAATTTACGCACGAGTATTGGCGTAATCAGATGTGTTCTTTCTCGAGCAAGATTAGAAATATTCAACAATATATGACAATCTAGATCCTGAGAACCGCTTAATAATTCGCATCTAACGCACTGTGCGCTCCGTGATGCGTTACTGACTGGAGGTAGAGTGAGTTAACATAACCCACCAAACGTTACGGATATTTACCTCGATGACAAATTCTGGTGATTCATTGGACGGTAGTAAGCGGTCGACGATAGAAAGCCGACGGACGATAAAAAGCCGACGGACGATAAAAAGCCGACGGACGATAAAAAGCCGACGGACGATAAAAAGCCGACGGACGATAAAAAGCCATCGGACGACAACAAGACGACAAATTACATAATCTGCCACATTACAAAATACATGAGCGTCTCCTAAAGTCCTCTAAACTCATGTCATCTACAACTGTTAGGAAGACGCACCTACTCGATACCCATCTATTTTAAAACACCTCAACAGCAATATATTCCATCGTATCATTCAACTATCGTAAATTTCTAAATCTTTTCTCAGTATCAAGAAATATGAAATCTGTCTTTCTATTCAGATTTTGAAGTATATTTCAGATTTTAAATGTATAAGCTAACTAAACAATCATTCAAAATATACTCTATAATTTTCGGATACATGAATAAAAAGTTTCTATCCACACTTCATACATATTTCACTCATTCACTAGTACAAGATTTTTTTGTCTCAGAACTTTGTAACATTCATTTTCTAATATTAATGAAAATGAAAAAAATTATTATTCATTTAATCCAATTTTTTATCTCAACTAACTTTCCGTCGATCACAATCAAAGACACTGGCCCATTAATACGCAATAAGACTCAAGCCTTCAAATAGCACATAGAGTATTTGTTTACACATATCCTTCAGCGTTTAATAAAATATATCTAATTTTAACACATTTCCACCACAGAATATTTATCCATCGCCATAAAATATATCCACAAGCGTTCAATAACACACAAAGTAATAATACTATATAGAGATTCAATACATTTTCACCATTCAGAGTTACGGACGCCACCCACCTGTCTCTATCCAAATTCTCGCCTTCCTCTATCCGTATCTGACAACTCGATAGCGCTAACGTTATCCGGAATCGAATACAGCGCCGCCTGACACCTCGGGATGGATGTTCATATCAACAATGCTAAACCAATTGAAACCGATCTGTTAACCGTGATGCAATAAGAAGAATCTGCCTTCCTCTCACCTACCAGGGCGGGTATCCCTCCCTCCCTCCCTCCCTCCCCACACACAAGAGCCCTCGTCCACCTGACATATATACCCTTCCTCCACAACCACCCCCCTCCCACTTCCTAACTCCCCAAAACATCTTCAACTCCCCCTCCCAAACAAAACACAACACACACACACATACTGTGCACCTCTCCACCTGCCTCCCCATACACACACACGCCTCCTGTCCCTCCCAACACACACACACGCCTCCACCTGTCGCCCCCAACACACACACACGCCTCCACCTGCCCCCCATCACACCTTTCCAAAACTTCAAGACATGTTCCTATATCTACTGACACCAATTCCCAACAGCTCACAAAAAAAAAAAAAATAAATAATGAAAAAAACCCTGACAAAACATGACGTACAGTAAAAAAAAATTAATATAGAAAAAACCACAAAACAAAGTGAATGGATGATAAGTATTGTATCTACCCATCAATTATTTACCTATGTATCTATTTCTCTATACAAGATGTAAATAAAATAAAAGGCGAGAGATAAATAAACGATACGAAGAAGGATAGAGAGGAGAAGGGATGGAAGAGAGAATGGGATAAGGGAAGGAGGAATGAGGGGAAGGCTAATGAAGGAGGGGTATGAGAAGGATAAGGCATTCGGGATAGGATAGAGGAAAGGGAAAGGAGAGAAAAGGAGGGAGGGAGGGAGGGAAGGGGGTGAGATAGGAAGATGGAAGAGGGAGAGAAAAGAGGGAAGAAGGAGAGAAAAGAGGGAAGAAGGAGAGAAAAGAGGGAAGAAGGAGAGAAAGGAGAGAAGAGGGAGATAGAGGAAAGAGGGAGATAGAAGGGGATAGGAAAGAGGGAGAGAGGGAAAGGGAAGAGGGAGGGGAAGGGAAGAAGGGAAAGGGAAGGGGAAGAGGGAGGGAGGGAGAGAGGGGTATGAGGAGTCTTCATCTCAGAGTTTGTGATGTTCCTTGGCCTGATCCTACCTACACCTGTACAGCATATCCTTCATAATCCTACACCACGTTACCCCATCCTAATCTGTATATCATTAACATATATCAATACAAATCATGTTTACAATTTAACTAAAGATCAAGTACAATTTAAAATAATAATAATAAAAAAAAAAAATAATAATAATAGTAATAATAATAATGACACTCCAAAAGAACAAAAGATAAATGTTATGAATGGAAGAAAGCGATAAAGAAAGGAATAAAGTGCAACAATTGAATAAAGATGGTGAACAGAGCAAAATACACGATAAATAGGGAATAAGAGAAACTGTAATTAAGCGAAGCACAGAAACGATAGGACAACTAAACAAAAAAACAACAAAACAAAATAAACAACGTCTAACACCGCGAGCAAAAAAAACAAAAGAAAAGCCTGATAAAGAACGGAAGTGAGAAAATGCGAGAAAAATAATGAAGGGAAGACGAACAGTGGCACATAGGTGATGAATTAAACAAAGGAGGAAGAGAGAACACACAATATAATAATGAACACAATGTAGACGACAAAAATCAAGCAAAAAGTGTTGATGAGAGACGAGAGTAAACAAGAAAGAACAAGAAATAAATAAACAACGTCAACAAGTAGGTAAGTAGGTAGGTAAACAAGCAGGTAATTAAGCAAATAGGACAGAGGTAAACAGGGAAGCAGGCATTAAGCAGAAAGTTAGCAAAAAAAAAAACAGTAATGAAGGTAAGTAGGTAAACAAGCAGGTAATTAGGCATGTAAACAGAGGCAGACAGGGAAGCAGGTATTCAGCAGAAAGTAGTGAAGGAAAAAAACAATAAAAAAAACAGGTAGATGGGTAGAAAACAGACCAAGAAGCAGACAACGAGATGAAAATAGGTAGACTAACACAGACAGGCAACAGTACACCCCTCAGACAGACAGACAGGCAGTAGAACACCCTTCAGACAGACAGGCAGTAGAACACTTCCACCCAGCCTCAAGTCCTTCCCCATCCCCGACAGACAGACAGAAGAACGCCCTTCCCCCTCCCCGACAGACAGACAGTAGAACACCCTCCCACCCAGCACCCTCCCCCTACCCGACAGACAGTAGAACACCCTCCCACCCAGCCCTCGGAGGATGAGCCAATCTGTCGTGAGGTCTATGAAGGCTAAGGACATCCTCTCCCCCTCAACTCAGGTTCTCACAGTTTGATCAAAATCCACCCACTGGCCTCTGAGTTTGGTGTGACGATGGGACGGATAGACGAACGGATAAACTGACAGATGGATGGATTGATAGACGGACGGACGGATAGACAGGGTGTTTGGATTACTGGATGGATGGAGATCTATTTTGACGGGTGGATGAATAGATAGTCGTACGGTGTTCTGGACGGACGGATAGGCGGATGTGTGGTGTATTTGGGCTGCCGGAAGGACGGGTAGATAGTCAGATGAATATATTTTGACAGATGGATGATCATGATTCGGTCGGTCGGGCAGAATCCAAGTATACACTAAGAGTAAACAAATTAAAAAAAAATAATAGTTAACTCTGTCAATATTACTGAAGAAGCTGGCCTACAGTAGTTGTCTCCGTCCCACCAGGAACTATATAACGACCAGGAACGACAAGGTAGTACCATTGATGATGACACATGATCAACGAGGTAACGACAGCGTCATGCCCATTAACACACTTAACAAGCCACATGTAGTGAGACGAGTAATGTGTGTGTGTGTGTGTGTGTGTGTGTGTACGTCTGGTTAAATAAGTTTCGATGTGCACGATTGGATTAGGTTGCCTTGTGCACGCTTAGGTAATCCGACGCGCACACGTTTGGTTATGTTTGCGTGTGCATGAGTGAGGGTAGGAGGTTTTTCGTGCCTGTGTATTTTACGCAGCAGGTATCAGGTTTGCGTG